GCTGGGGACGCAGGGCCGAAGCCCGGGTGGGGGAAGGGAACAACAACCTTCGCAGCCATTTTGTCCTCGCCCCACTTCCGTCTTCTCCCCGGCACCCCTTCTCGTCAGACCCTGCGCTCTGGAGGCGCCGGTTCCGAGGGGCCCAAACCGCCTAAAGCACGGCTGTCATTGGTCAGTTGGGAATATGCCCGCCCCCCCTTCCACCGTCTCCTTCCGGCTTCTCCCGTCCGCTTGGGCTGGCCGCGCATGCGCCCACTCTGCCCCGCTCCCCCACCCAGAGTGACAGAGGGCTCCCGCGCGCGGGCTCTCTGTGCCCCGCCCTTCCCTTTCCCCCTTGCCGTTCGGAGAGCGAGGACGAGCATGAAAGTTCCAGAACGCTGCGGTGGTGCGTCATCGCCAGGGGGGGTGGGGTGGGAAGGGGGTGGGCCCTAGGAATGGATCCAGGCTCTTCACTGGTGCTTTTAGAAAAAACCCGTCGTCCATTGGCTGAGGAAGCTATGATAGACAACGGAATAGGCGGGACCCTTCTGGAAGGTTCTGAGACAGGGTATAAGAGACAGGGTGGCGGGCGGAAACCGGTCTCATTGAACGGGGAGGTAGCTTTTGGGGTCTTCTGCGGCGGTCAGCAGTCCAGCAGAGCCGGGCCTATACGCGAGGTAAGACCTGGACCTCGGATGGTGGTGCGTGGTGAGGCAGGCTTGCGGATGGGCGGCGAGGACTGGGGCAGTCGCGGTGCTCATGACGGTGGCCCGGGCTGCGCCGTAGGCTACCGGGAGCCGGTAGTGTGTGCGGGCGGCCGCGGGGTGAGACAGGGCGGCGCCCGGGCCTGGGCGAGCACAGGGCGGGGGAGGGATGGCGCTTGTAGGCCGTTCCGCCGCCTGGGCCCCGGCTGCCGGGTACCGGAAACGGCTCTTGTCAGGCCCCCAAGACTCGACAAGGCGTAGAAAAAAAAAGAGCAGCGTATGCCGACCCCGGAGCTTGTGTTTTGCGGAGGAGGGTGCGCAGGGTGTCTGATCCTGGGCCACGTGCTCGGCATTGTCGCAGACTTTCAGGGCGAATGGATTCTGATGCCAAGGCTGGCACGGCCACCTAGGCTGCCGCATTGTCGCTCTAAGCTTCTGCTGAGACTGCCTGGGAGCGGCCATTATTTCGGTGTACAAGGGTCTTCAGAAAACCGGGGGACGCCGGCTACTTAAGCTGGCTTTTCAAAACCCTTTATCTTTTACAGCAACCATGTCTAAGGGACCTGCAGTCGGCATTGATCTTGGCACCACCTACTCGTGCGTGGGTGTCTTCCAACACGGGAAAGTGGAAATCATTGCCAATGACCAGGGGAACCGAACCACGCCGAGCTATGTGGCTTTTACTGACACCGAACGATTGATCGGTGATGCCGCAAAGAATCAGGTTGCCATGAACCCCACGAACACGGTGTTTGGTAAGTCGCTGATTGATGTGTCTTAATCATGGTACCAGAACGGGTTGAGAAACGAAAACCTGAGGAACTGTTACGTTTTGAAAAGCGGAAATTTCGTCTAGGCGCCAAAGTCGCCATTTTATAATGTCCAGTAAGCATGGGGGGGGCACTGCGTCCCGAAGTGCTGGTAATGAGGCCCTTGACCCTCAAACCTAAGGACACGGTGAAGGTGGACTATGATAAAATGCGTTTATTTTATAGATGCCAAACGTCTAATCGGGCGCAGGTTTGATGATGCAGTTGTGCAGTCTGACATGAAGCACTGGCCCTTCATGGTGGTGAATGATGCAGGCAGGCCCAAGGTCCAGGTGGAATACAAGGGAGAGACCAAAAGTTTCTATCCCGAAGAGGTGTCCTCTATGGTTCTGACAAAGATGAAGGAAATTGCAGAAGCCTACCTTGGCAAGGTAAGGTTTTGACAGAAGTTCCCCTCTGACTGCCTGTAAGCTTAAAAATCTACCTGCAGACAGTTGGAATTGTTTGGCATTAAATGTTTTCTGTTGTATTTCTAGACTGTTACTAACGCAGTGGTCACAGTGCCAGCTTACTTCAATGACTCACAGCGGCAGGCAACCAAAGATGCTGGAACCATCGCTGGCCTCAATGTACTTAGAATTATCAACGAACCAACTGCTGCGGCAATTGCTTATGGCTTAGACAAGAAGGTGTGTATTTTGGGTGAAATCAGTGAGGCTTACCTGAACCATTGGAAGTATATGGTGAGCTAAATTATTTTTTTCTCTGCGTTGGAGCAGAGAGAAATGTGCTGATATTTGATTTGGGAGGTGGCACTTTTGATGTGTCAATCCTCACTATTGAAGATGGAATCTTTGAGGTCAAATCTACAGCTGGAGACACCCACTTGGGTGGAGAAGACTTTGACAACCGGATGGTCAACCACTTCATTGCTGAGTTTAAGCGCAAGCACAAGAAGGACATCAGTGAGAACAAGAGAGCTGTCCGCCGGCTCCGCACAGCCTGTGAGCGGGCTAAGCGCACTCTCTCCTCCAGCACCCAGGCCAGTATTGAGATTGATTCTCTCTATGAGGGAATCGACTTCTACACCTCCATTACTCGGGCTCGATTTGAAGAGTTGAATGCTGACTTGTTCCGTGGCACCCTGGACCCTGTAGAAAAAGCCCTTCGAGATGCCAAACTAGACAAGTCACAGATCCATGATATTGTTCTGGTGGGTGGTTCCACCCGGATCCCCAAGATTCAGAAGCTTCTGCAAGACTTCTTCAACGGAAAAGAACTGAATAAGAGCATTAACCCCGATGAAGCTGTTGCTTATGGTGCAGGTAATTACTACCCTGAATAGTTTTAATTCCTAACAGGTAGCTTACAAAGGCCCAAAGAGCTCGCTGTGATGATTGATTCCAAAACCATTCGTAGTTTCCACCAGAACTTCTGTGTTGGTCAGTTCCTTCCTTGGATGTCTGAGCGAATGAGGTGTGTTTGTGCTAGCGATATTTGAGGATTAGGCTGTCTCTTAACATTTTTCCTGCATTTTAGCTGTCCAGGCCGCCATTCTATCTGGAGACAAGTCTGAAAATGTTCAAGATTTGCTGCTCTTGGATGTCACGCCCCTTTCCCTTGGTATTGAAACGGCTGGTGGAGTTATGACTGTCCTCATTAAGCGCAATACTACCATTCCTACCAAGCAGACGCAGACCTTCACTACCTATTCAGACAACCAGCCTGGTGTGCTCATTCAGGTGTGTATTGTCTTAGTTTGTTAACAGAGATAAAGTTGGGGAAGAGGCCGCTGTGATGATGGATTCCAAAACCATTCGTAGTTTCCACCAGAAACTCTGTGTTGGCCAGTTCCTTCCTTGGATGTCTGAGCGACCAGTCTTCCCCTAGTGGACCTTAAGCCATGGAAACCTAGAGTCCAACATAGTAACCTTCTGTCTTTTACCTCAAGGTATATGAAGGTGAAAGAGCCATGACCAAGGATAACAACCTGCTTGGGAAGTTTGAGCTCACAGGCATACCCCCTGCACCCCGAGGTGTTCCTCAGATCGAGGTCACTTTCGACATTGATGCCAATGGTATCCTCAATGTTTCTGCTGTAGATAAGAGTACAGGAAAAGAAAACAAGATTACCATCACCAATGACAAAGGTAAGCTTAACACCAGCAGTCAACTGATCTTGGTCACAGTGGTTTGTTTCCTGATGGATTTTTAAGGGGATCTAGCCAGAGGAAAGGCTTAATTTATATCCAGTTAGAGATTCTGACTTTTAAGTTGTGTTTGTAATTTTACAGGCCGCTTGAGCAAGGAGGACATTGAGCGCATGGTCCAGGAAGCTGAGAAGTACAAAGCCGAAGATGAGAAGCAGAGAGACAAAGTATCATCCAAGAACTCACTAGAGTCTTATGCATTCAACATGAAAGCAACAGTTGAAGATGAGAAACTTCAAGGCAAGATCAATGATGAGGACAAACAGAAGATTCTGGACAAGTGTAATGAAATCATCAGTTGGCTGGATAAGAATCAGGTTGGTAGTTTGCTATTTGGAGATACTGTAGAACTGGGATTGATGAGCCAGGGTCACTATGATGAAGAATGGTCCATACATTCGCGGTTTCCACCAGAATGTAAAACAATGTTGGCAAGTTACCTTCCTTGGATGTCTGAGTGACTCAATTACAAGGACTAGCAAAGATTGGGCTTAGTTTAGATTTAGTCATAAGTTATAGTTAGTAAAAGTGTGGTAATTGATCTTTTGTTTTCTTCAGACTGCTGAGAAGGAAGAATTTGAGCACCAGCAAAAAGAACTGGAGAAAGTCTGCAACCCCATCATCACCAAGCTGTACCAGAGTGCAGGTGGCATGCCAGGAGGAATGCCTGGGGGCTTCCCTGGTGGCGGAGCTCCCCCCTCTGGTGGTGCATCTTCCGGGCCCACCATTGAAGAGGTTGATTAAATTCAATCCAAGTAGAGATGTAGCATTGTTCCACAATAAAATATTTGAAGGACCCAAATTTAGCAAGTTCAGTGGCAGTTTTAAGGTTGAACTGCTACAATAAATTACTGGGCATTCTTAATACTTGAATAAAGAACATGTGCACCAGAAAAGGAAATAACATTGCACTTTATGAGTACTGTAAGTGGAAAATGCAATGTCTTAAATAAAAACTATTTAAAATTGGCACCAGAACCCTTGTCTTGGTTTTTTTTAAATGAAGAATCTACAAGTATTTGGGAGCAGCAATGACCTTCATGATTTTTTTAATGTCTTCCTGAAGCTCTAGGCTGAAGGCCAAGGCCCTGCTGCCTCTGGGGTTAAAGGTGTGTGCCACCATGCCAGGCAGAGTCAAGTCCTTGGTGATTGGTTATGGGGCTTGGTGTCAAACCTACAGCTTGACATAGGACATCTAGGCTTAGATGTTACCATGTAACCCAGGCTGGCCTCATGCCTTCACTTTCCTTGTGTTGGGACTTGAAGGCATATTTACCTGGAAAGAACCTTTGTGTATAAAAGGTTTTCAATTGCCTGGGTGGGTTCTGTTTTGAGTTGGTTGTGTGACAACCCCAGAATCCTATGAAGTGGTGAGTCACTTAGCTCTTTGGGGGTCTCCATGGCCAGTTCTTAATTGGAATGCACATTGATTTCACATGTTTTAGTGTTAATGCTGCCACCTAGTGGTAAAGTAGGTACCTCATGGCTGCAGCAAACCAAGCAGCCTAGTGACTTAGACTACTGCTTTGAAGTGAAACCTAACTAAAATACTTATGCTGCAGATGGATCTACTAGTCTATGCTCTTTGTTGGCGTTACAGGTGTTGGTCTTCACTTACTGGGTGCTGGGGATTGAATTAAGACATTCCCGTGAGCTACATGCTCAGTCTGTTGGCTTGGAGCCAAACTCCAGAGCCATGAATTTCATGCAAGAGCTCTTAAAATTTTCCAGTTTAAGGATTGCCAATGGCTCTAGGCTGTCTTAAAAATTTTCAGTTTAAGGATTGCCAATGGCTCTAGGCTGGCCACAAGCTTGGTCCTCTTGGATTATAGGTATGTGGCCATACACCTTGAATGAAATAAAATTTTTTGGAACAAATGCCATCAAAAAAAGGAACCACTTACTAAAATTGGGGTTTTAGGTAAGAAACAGTTGTGGAGGAACAATTGGCATGCTCCATATGCTAGTGGACGGTTACTGGAACAGCTTCCCAATGAAATGAGGTATAAGTAGAGCAGAGTTGATATGTAAAAGGGGTGGAGGACAGGAAGATTAGCTGGTGACCAGGCTGGCCTGGAAGCTTAGAACAAATTCTAACCTGCCTCTTAAATGTTGCAATTATAGGTGTGCCACCGGGCCAGGCACTCAGACTTAAAGAATGCTTATGAATGAGCTGGGTGTGGTGGTGCACACCTTTAATCCTACCACTTGGGAGGCAGGCAGATCTGAGTTTGAGGCCAGCCTGGTCTACAGGCTGGAGCTACAGGTAGACCCTGCCTCAAAAAGACAATGCTTATAGATTATACCAGTTTAGGTTATGAATATTGGTCTACTATCTAGTGCTTGCTGTCTCTGGCTATTGGATATTGAGATTTGCAGATGTGTATTTTGTTATTGTGTGGGTACACCTGTGGAGGTACATCAGGACAACTTAGGATTCAGTTCTTTTGTTCCTGTGGGTTCTGGTGGTAGGGGCAGGCAGGTGCATTTTTAATGTGCATATCAAAGCTGGGTTTAGACAAACCTGCAGTCCCAGCATTTGAGAGGCCGAGCCTGGGCTGCTTGACAAAAAGGAAAAAACGAAACAAAACAAAAAAAAACCTTTTCTAAAAGGAAAGAACTGAAAATTTTGTGACTTGTTTCATTGTTTCTTGCTGAGGTCTAGTGGGTGAAATGGAATAGGCTTGTCAGTGCTAGAGCAGCAGGAGACCAAAGTATGGAAGGTGAGTTGTAGACAATTACAAAGTGGCATTAAAAACGAAAGCAGGCCGGACATGGTGGTGCATGCCTATAATCCCAGCACTTGGGAAACAGAGCCAGGCAGATCTCAGTTCAAGGCCTGCCTGGTCTATATAGTGAGTTCCAGGCCAGCTGGGGCCACAGGGACACCCTTTTGTCACAAAAGGACAAAAAAATAAATACAAAAAGTGAAAGCATTACAATACAGGAAGATCTTAGAAAAGGCATGTTAAGTTAGCAAAGCTACAGGAAGATGGAGAGGAGTCAACCATGGGACAGAGGTATCTAATCTGCATTCAGTCTTAACCCAGAAGTCCAATTTGCAAAGCAATTGCTGTTCTTTAGAATTTAGCCATGTGTTTCTTGTCAGTCCTTGTTAGACTGTAAGACACCCTGTAAACCAGGCTGGTCTCAAATTTGCAGTTCTGCCTCAAGTGCTGAAGTTATGTGCACTACCGTGCCAAGCTCCTAATGTCACAGAAACACATTTTAAAATACTTAAGATGTATTTTAATAATTACTTTAGTTCTTGCTCCAGGTTTTCTCAAGTCATTTATTTAAACCTTTTAACTAGTAAGGGAAAATTTGTGTAAGCCACAGCGATAAGATTCTCAGCAGTACTATAGTATTTCTAAACGTAATCTTTAAAAACGTTTCCTTTGCTCAAACTTGAGGAAAGTAGCCTTTGGTTCTGCTAGTGAAGTGGAGTGGGACCATCTGAGGAAGAGTAGGTGTGTGTACTGATTTAGTGTTGTCTTTGCCCAGCAGATGGCAGTAGCTAGTTGAAAGCAGCAGCCCTGGTGTGGGGAAGCTGCTGAAAGCGTTGTCATTAGCAGTGTGGTTGCTTGTGTCACAGGTTGCCTTATTGGAAGCATAAATGATGAGTTGGTGATATACCAGGTCAGCCTCCAACAGCCACATTGATGTTCCAAGCAAGGCATTCCAGGATGAGCAATTGTCCAGCTAGGGATAGGTTGTGGGCAGGCTCAAGGAATGATCTCTGTGTGTTAGTGAGGATGAGGGAGGATACAGAAACGTGGACAGAGGGAAAAGAGGCTCAGCGGCAAGAAAATATAACCCTGTTTCCATTTGCTAGTCTTAAGTTACTTTTTTCTTAATGATTTATTTGTAGGAGTATTTTGATTGCCAGTATGTTTACTCATATGTGTAGTGCCCTCAAAGGCTAAAAGAAGACAATAGAGCCACCACATGGATGCTGGGAGTCAAACCTGGATCCTCAGGAAGAACAGCCACCTCTCCAGCCCCTTAACTTCTTAATTTCATGTATCCTTAGCTTCCACTCACTTCTAAGATAATCTTTGAAAAGACATAACTGGGCTGGGAGGTGTGGCTCCATTGATAGAGTACCTGCCTAGTATGTGCTAGGCAGTGCTGCCCTGAATTTCATCCCAGCACCACATAAACAAGATGAGATGAAGTCTCGAATGGTGGCACACACCTTTAATCCCAGGACTCCTGAGTCAGGGGCAGGTGGATCTTTGTGAAATCCAAGCCAGCTGGGGCTACAGGGAGACCCTGTCACAAACAAACGAAATGCCTGTAGTCCCAGCAATTAGGCAGTGGAGACAGGAGGATCAAAAATTTAATGTCATCCTCAGCTGCATAGGGAGTGGTCAGCCTGGGCTACATAGGACACTGTCTCAAAAATATTTAAACAAATGCAGGGTGTGGTGTCATGCACGCCTTTAATCCCAGCATTCAAGAAGCAGAGGCAGGTGGATCTCTGAGATCAAAGCCAACCTGGTCTACATAGAGAGTTTCAGGTCAGCTATTAAACACAACAAAAAATTTTTTAAAGAGTAGTTTTGACATTTCATATACCATCCAGTTTACTGAAAGCATCAGTATTTTCAGTATATTTACAGAACAGTGCAACACAATTTAGAATAGTTGAATCAGACTAAAATAAAATCTCATACCATTATCACTGGGTTCTCAGCCCCACACTGCCTTAGCCAGCAATTGTGAACATTTCACAGACACACAATACATGATCTTTTGTGACTGGCTCTTTTAGGGTGTTTCCAAGGATCATCCACATTGTATTTTGTATCAGAAATGCATTGGATTGCAGAGCTACCTCCCCCCATTCTTGAGGGCCAAGGGGTTGAAGGTAGAGGGGGAGCGGAGAGGGAAAGTACAGAACATGTACAAGCGCTGTTAATGGTAGTTGGGAAGATGGAGGAGGAATAGAATGAAACAGGTTACTTGCAAGGATCAGAGTAAGGCTGGGCCTAGTGCCTCATCTGTAATCACAGCACCTGGGAGGTAGAGGCAGGACAATTGCAAGTTTGAGGCCAGCCTGGGCTACATGCCAAGACCCTGCCTGCCTGCCTGCCTGTCTGTCAGAGAGAGAGAGCCTAAGTCATAGTGCCTATGTTGCTGTGCCTTGGTCTATATTTGCGTTTGAGGCGTGGACTCAAATCAAACCAGTTTCCACTCTCAGGTAGGAAACACTAGATTGGACTGAAACAAAAGCTGACTACTAGCAAAAAACCATTTGAAAAACACTTGGAAATGTTCAACAGAAGCTGTTTTGTTTAGCATTTCTTATATTTCTGTCCAATCAGACCTGCTGTGCCCTTCATAAGGTGTATTTTATTAAGCATTAAGCAATTAAGCAAGGGGCTGGAGAGATGGCTCAGCAGTTAAGAGCACTGGAGAGGACCTGGGTTTGACTCCCAGCAGCACCCAGGTGGCAGCTAACACCTGTCCATAACTCCAGTTCCAGGGGATCAGACACCCTCTTCTGACCTCCGTGGGTACTGCATGCATGCATGCAGACAATATGCCCATACACATAAAAAAAAATTAAAAAGGTATTAAGCAAATTACTTTTTTTCTGAAACTACCTAAGAAATGGAAATTAGAATACTCAATCATTAGACTCAGTAGAGCGAAACAAGCCAGTATGTGTGGAACATGTAGCTATGGCTGACTCCTAGAAAAGTGCTCAGTAAATTGGGGCAATCATTAGCTGAATATTATTTCCTAAGTATACTGTAAAAAGCACTAAAAAATGTATAGCTTAAAATAGCGAAAATTTATTGTCTCTGTTTTAGAGACTAACAGTCTGAAGTCGAGGTCTGGGCAAGGGTCTTGTTGCTCTGCAGGTACTAGAGAGGGAGTTGTCTCCTGATTCTTCTGTCACCTGGCTGTTTCTACTACCCGCTGTGCCTGTCCTTGTCTAAGTTTACCATTTTGAAGGATGACCCTCA